GCTTTCATCTGCGCCGCCTCGAGTTCTTTCACTATTATACCTTCTTTCCTTGCCATATTCTCCGGCGTACTCTAGCGGCGGTACGATTACGCTCTTCAAAACCGTCAATTTGATGCGTGTATCGAGGTGCCGGTTTGCGAGTATTGGGTGCAGCTTCCCTGCTCGTGCTTTGTCTTTTTCCGCTACCTTGGACAAGTGTGCATTCCACGAGCAGTCTTTTGCAATCTCTACTCCGAGGTATGTGTACTGGTCCACTAATGCAGTCTCCTCGATCCCCCACTTCCATCTATGTTCTACTGGTTCCTCCTTGTTCTCGTTGCATGCCATGACGGCACTCTTTTTAACATTGGCAGGCAATCTCCACTTATCAGTAAATTTCTTCGCCGCGTCAATTTTAAGTTGCAGTCCCTCAGGGGTGTCCGACATACCGACAAAATCATCCGCAAACAGCATTCCTGAAACGGACGTTTCCGTGTCCCCTACTTTTACTCCCTGCCGGACTGCCTCTACGACTTCCAAAAGATGGTCGATGGACACCTGGAACAATGTTGGGGACAGCGCGCCACCTTGTGGGACCCCCTGCTCAATGTCGAAGAATTTTGACAGTTCTCCGTCAAGCATGACCGCGCTTTTCGTACAATCTGTCATCGTCTTCAGCACTTTCCACATTTTCCCCTTGATCCCTTATTTGGACAGTTGTTTCCACAGCCCATCTCTCCATACGGTGTCTTATGCCTTTTTCACGTCCAGGAAGAAGCAGTACGTCGGCTTTCCCGCCCTCTTTCTACCTTGGATGATTCTCCCTACTGTTAATACGTGGTTAACGCACCCCCTCTTCTTTCGGAAACCTGCCTGACCCTCACTAATGCTATGGTGCAGCGTTGGGGGGGGGAGAAATTTGCGAAAAGAAACATGTACACTGTATTACAGCGCTATTTCCATAACCGAAATGGAAGCGAGAGAAACACTCACATAATGAATGCCCACAAGAATTGTTGTTGTTTTGCTCAACCATCGTCGAACTCCCTGAGAAAAGTTGCACAACTCGTATGGAGAGGGAACTGGCGGCTTGACCCTTTACGCGATAATAAATTTCAGCACGCACCGCTCGGCCGCAGGAGGAAGGTGGGGCACGAAAATATAATGTAACAAGAAAAAAGCCCTGGTGTTTACCCCCTTCTGTGTGACCCTTGATGGTTGTAGTTGTGTACGAAAAAGGACACTGAAAAGTGTAGCACTCAAATACACTGAAAGTGTAGTATACTTCTCACCTTGAAAAATGGGGGGACTGTCGCCATAATAGACCTATGTAGACCTATAGACGGGTATCCTACGAGCTTAGGGCTCACGAGATCGCAGGAAATGCAATACTGATGCTCTCGTGAGTGTTGTGCCCTTAATTCGCGGTATCTCCGCCCGTAGACCTCGCCTCGAAGAGAGACTTGCACCTACCGGTAGCCCTGTGTTGCGATGGCTCTCCCGGCTTGCCTCGCGCGCTCTCGGGGAAGATCGCGTGCAGCGCTAGCGAGGGCAGAAAGTCGCGTCTCCGACATCTACCATGGATCCACCAATCACGCCCCGGTTTCTTGACAGTGCAGGCCATTCATACATTCGGCAGGCGGCTGACTGACGTGGTGGGTGTGCGCTGGTTACACGCTACACACCCTTGTTACCACACTCGCCAACCAAGCCACCAAGTCTCCGCATGACACGAGACAAAGTGCTCTACTGCTGTAGTGCGTCTTCCTTTTGATCCCGGCGAAAAGCGGGGGGGCTAGCGGCCGGTATCCTGCGCACAGCTAGCTATCTGCAAAACTACACCCGCCCGAGAAAAAAACCAACATGAAATACGTTGTTTGTTCCTCCGTTTCATGGAGGAAGTGGTCTACTTTTTTTTTTCCTGAATATGACCCAACGACTTTTTCTACATACAGTTAAGGACGCACATGACTTTTCCCGAAAAAAAGCGCCCTTAAAGCGGGGTTGCGTCCTTAAAATTCAGGGGACGATAGCTCACCATCCCCGGGGCCAATGGAGGCATGCTTTACCTCAAACTACGCGTCTTTTGCTAAGGAAAGGTGTGGTACGAATGTCAGCGTTGCCGAGACGACTGGCAACCGTTTGTTGACATCGAACATAATTACAATACTTGAAATGAGATGTACAGCAGTCGGGGGCGCGTTGAAAACAACTACAGTACACAAGTTTGTACTTGGCCAACTAGTGTACTGCTCAGCCGGCAGCGGAAGAAGGAGGAAAGTCCGAGTGGACATATTTTTATCTCACTTTTGTGAAACAAAAAAAACGAGCGTATTTCAGCGTCGCACCGAGGAACACCAGTACATATCACTGTCCCGGCGGAGACCAAAAGCTACCCTGATGGCTTTTCCTTCCACATATCGCAAAGAGTTCCCTGAACCTTCCCCCGCGGCTTAGCTCTACGGCTCTGTTGAGTTTCATGAGGAAACGAATGAACGGTCTTCGAAAGAAGGTACTGCGTCTCACGGTACTCGCCACCCCTTCCCTTCGCGTACAAATAGGATCGAACGTCCTCCAAGCGAGAGATAACCTCGCCCTCGGTGAGGGACGAGGATATGCACGACTTTTTGTTTTGACGGCATCAGATGACCGCCGGTAGATGGAAGGAATCTATCGATGCCAACACCCAGTTACAGCTGCAGCACCAGACCGCTCGCCACTTCTACTGTCTGTGCGTCTCTACTTCTGCACTCACTGTGGTGTGTGGTGCGTGCAAAGAGCGGTCCGCATGACACAACAAAGGGGGGTACCCCATTGTCGTACATTATGCCGGGCCCCCTGGTGCTCAGCAAAGAAAATCCTGTAAGCGAGGAGTTTCCGTAACGCGAGCGTCCTTAAAGCGGGGTCGACTGTACATACGAAGACCACACACCCCAGAAGAAGCGATCTTTACTCACCTTCAGTACATACTAAACGACATCTCCCTAAGAGGGTGGGTATAGCACATGGGATAGAGGGAAGAGGGAGAGAGAAAAAAAGCTGTTTGCTTGGTGTATCTTTCTCAACTTTTATTGTGCGACACGCTCATCCCCCCCTGTAATCCCTCGTGTCGTAATTTACGAATAGTAGAGTATTTTAGGGGTCGCTCCTCCTCTGTTTTCTTTTTGAGGCGTTTCTTCGATTTTTGTGTGGCCCAGGTTGAGCTATTTATCATTTATTATTAACCCTGCTTTCCTATTTTTTCCGTGGAAAGTGAGCCGTTGTTTCTTACAAAGTTCTTTCCGAGTAAATAAATACTCTGTCCTCTGGCTGTCGCATAACAAATGTATGAACTTATTCATTGTGCGTCTCTGCCCTTCGAACAAACAATAATCGACTTTTTCCCCCTTCGCAGCATTTCTTCTTCATATCTCTCATTTCACAACTCCACCCGCACACACTTGCCATCGCCATTGAAGCTACGAGCGTAGCGGCAACCGCGAAGCGGTACGCCTCGAAGCGCCCTTGTAATTAGGACGAATACACATACAATTGATACGCCAAGCGTTTTTATCTAAAAACATGTACCAAAGGTAAGCTCCCGTCGCCCTGGTAGTCTAGTTGCCATCCTCGCAACGTTCTACTACTGTAGTGGCCAGGTCAGGTGTTCGAATGCACGCGTCAGCGAGCTTTTTCACAAAGTGATATATTTTCATATATTTTCCGCAGCAGCAGTAGTGTCTCCTCAAAAAAACTGGATTGATTTCCCCCCTGTTTTGTTGTTGGCTTCATTCAACGGGATCTCGGGCTCTTGCATGCATGCGTAAAACGGGAATGGGGGGCTGGGGGGGTGTACTCATAATCGTGCATGCCGTAGTGGTTAGACCATTGACCTCGCATCCCTACAAAGCCGCGACGGAGCGCGCCAGGTTTTCACCGGACCAGGCTCTCACATCACCAAGCGCGAAGCGCCGTGAGATATTCGGCGAGTCGCATGAAGGGTNTGGCTTGTTTTACGACGTCGTTGCCAAGCGACGAAATCCCAATCCCGATGGCAATCACCAGGGGGGGGGGGGCTTGTTTTACAACGTCGTTACCAAGCGACGATAACCCAACGCCGATGGCAAACACCAAGGAGGGCGGAAAAAGGGCGGGGGTATGTCCACTAGTGGCGAACAGGAGTAGTAGTTGTGCTGTACAGCAGGAGTATGAGGAGAGATATGATCCACAGAAGTATGTGAGCATGTGCACGCCTCTTTCTCTTTGGCAGCAACCGTCCGTACATAGGATGTGCCTATGCGAGAAATACCTGCTGGCACAAGGACCTTCTTTGCCTCACTTATCCGTGAGCAGGGGATACGGCACGCGCATATGTATACAATCTGAGCTAGATGCGATAACGTTGAAAGGAATCCGCCGCACGCGCGCTCCAGATCGATTCAAAAGTTTTCGGCCCGCTCAGCAAGTCGAGACCACCATCTACTATCGCACGAAATGAAAACATGGTAGTAAACTTTTAACCTTTTCCGAGAAAGAAGGGAGGGAAATCGAAACTGCTTTTCGTCACCAACACCCTTTCTCACGGCGAGAAGTTGCGCAGTACACACGAACCTCCTTTCCCATTTCTGGAACCGCGCTAACGACACCACGACCGGACCGAGGCAGTGCGCTACCGCTTACTCGCGTCGGCTCCGACGTGCGTTGTCTCTGCCCTCCCGCGCGCTCGCGGAATCGGCGGGGTCGATCACATACGAATGTCTTTTGTACCCGCCGTGGTAGTTCCCGTCTTGGATCTTACCGCCGTAGGCAGTCCATTGGAGTTTGGAGGGACATCTTCCCCACGTCCTGAGCCACTAGTGAGTGCGAGGCTCACCTCTCGATATATTCACGTACGGTTGACGCACCAGCCGGCGCCATAGGCGGAAGACAAAACACAGGGCTTGTTCGCTTTGTGCCGCAAGTGGCAAAACGTTACAAAGTTCACCAGGTATGCACAGCACAAGCCCCCACCCGCGCGCAGCAGACCCCTCCGTCCCGGCTTTGTAGGGATGCGAGGTCAATGG